AGACCTGCAAAGGTGGGGATGGGCAGAGTTGGGGGAGGGGGTTCAAGCCGAGGAAACAGCTAATTGGCCTCAGTGACACCACACTCTCTCAGTTTTTTTGTTGGAATTCCCCGATTCTTCTCCCCTTTTGTGGCTGTCTCCTTCTCCACTCAAATGTGGGGTGAGCTTGGCCTGAGGAGACAGCAGATAAAGCATATAGATAGTATTAGGACCATGGCATACAGTGCGATACCCTGGGGAGAGAACACAGGAGGAGGGACCCAGCCTCCAGCCCTGGAGAGCTCCTACCTTTAGAGGCTGAGTGGAGAAGGAGACAGCCACAAAAGGGGGGATGAATCAGGAAATTCCAACAAAAAACTGAGAGAGCGTGGCGTCACTGAGGCCAAGAGCTGAGGCTGTCTCAAGAGGAGCAAGTAGTTGTGCAGAAAGTATATTCCTGAAAGGTCAGGTGACTTCTGAACGCTACCACTTGGAGGCCATCGGGCATTTTACAAAAGCAGTCTCTGCTGGGTCCTGGGGGTGGAATCCATCACGAATAGGTTGAGGAGAGAATGGAGGCAATAAGTGGAGATGAAAAGTCTAGTCAGGCGGATAAACAGGAAGCGGGCGGTAGAGGCAGTGGCAGAGGAGATCTAGGGGCTTCGGGTGAAGGCAGCGGAAGAACTAGGATTATTGGAAGGGCAGCAGAGGCCGACTGAGAACGAAAAAAGGCGCCTTGGCCATCTACCTCTAGGCAACGAGAGATCGCGGCCTCGCTCTCCGCTCGGATTTCCGGATCCCCAGCTTCGACTGAGGCAGCGGCTGACAAAGGGCTCGCGCCGGTGCCGCCGCCCTTCTCATCCGGGCATTCGGGTCCCTGCGGAGAGGGAGGGGCAAGGGCAGAGGGGGAGGGGGAGGAATAGGAGGGGGGCGCGCTTGGAGCCGAGGCCCTCTCTAGGGCTCCGGGCCTGCAGCCCAACGGACGGAGGCCGAGGAGGACCTGCAGAGGTGGCGGCGGCCGGGGTCAGGAGGATGGTGCAGAAAGAGAGCCAGGCGGCGCTGGAGGAGCGGGAGGGCGAGCTCAGCTCCAACCCTGCCGCCTCCGCGGGGGCATCGTTGGAGCCGCCGGCAGCTCCGGCCCCCGGAGAAGACAACCCATCCGGGGCCGGGGGAGCAGCGGGGGCCGGGGCGGCAGGAGGGGCTCGGAGGTTCCTATGTGG